TGTACCCGTGTCGTGCAATGCCCAAGGAGGACAGAAGAGACTGTCAGATCCCCTGGGACTGGAGTTAAGGACAGTTGTTAGCTGCCATGTGGGTGCTGAGATTTGAACCCAGGTCTTCTGCAAGAACAACCAGTGTTCTTAACTGCTGAGCCACCTCTCCAGCCCCGCAAGGATCTTTCCAAAAAAGTATGCGTGTTGAGCCAGGCGTAGTGGTGCACACCTTTAATCCCAGCACTCAGGAGGCAGAGGCAGGTGGATTTCTGTGAGTTCAAGGCCAGCCTGGTCTACATAGTTCCAGGACAGCTGGGGCTACAGGGAGACCCTGTCTCAAAAAGACAAAAAAAAAAAAAAGTATGTGTGCATATGTGCACACACATACATGTGGGTACCTGTGGAGATCAGAAGAGGCGTTCGATCCCTTGGAATTACAGGGGTTTGTGAGCCACTAGATATGGGTGCTAGGAATCAAACTCCAGATTCTCTGAAAGAGCAACAAGTGCTCTTAGCCACTGAACCATCTCTCCAATACCTAGGGATCTATTTCTCAAGGTTCCCGTCATCTAACTCTACTTTTAAGACAAGAAGGCACATTAAGGAGGAATTGTTCTGATCTCATATTGGAGTTGAACGCATTACCACTTACTATGAGCTGGCTTACTACTAAGCAATCCTGAGCCAGGAAGGGAGCAGGCTGTACCTGGCTTAAGCTGAATCCTATTATCATGGGAAACTGACAACTCAGTAGCTTCCAGGCAGACTAGTCAGTTAGAGCCTAGGTTCCAAACTTGGGCTTTGGAACCCCAGGGGATACTCTCCTTCTCTCTGGTATAGACAGATCTATACCACGAGCTGGCTGTGGTTCTATCCAAGGAAAAGATTGAGGGAGTTATAGAAACAAACATATAGGACCAGCAAGATGGTTCTGTGGGTAAAAACAGCTGTCACTGAGCCTGATGACCTGAATCTGATACCATAGTAAAAGGAGAAAACCAATTCCCACAAGGTGTCATCGGTATAGACACCATGACACACACAGCTACACATGTACACATATACAATACCAAAAAAATACAGAGGCGATAAGCAAGGTGAAGATGCTCCCAGGAATCCAAGAATCCCCCATTTTCAGAAAGGGCCAAAAGAAAAGAATGTGCTAGGGAAGAGCAAATGACAAAGCCAACAGCAAAGCTAGGGATGCAGGCAGGAAGTGTGCAGTGTAATGGGAAGAACACATTCAAGGTCCCTAGTCAACATTCACATTCCTAAGAAAGCTAAAGAAACAGCATCACCAAAAATGTAGCACCTGCCTTGATGAAACAAACTATAGCAAATGCAGTGATTTCAAAAGCCATAAACAGTGACCAGTAAGGGGCACATAGACACACTGAATCCCACACCAGATGAGAGAGAGTGTTTTTCCACATGTGGAGCACTTCAAACCACTGATTAGCAGGTGACAGTGGACTCCATAAGGTGGGAGAACTAAAAACGCCCTGAACAGACAAAATAAAACTGTAGGGGGGCCCTGAACAGACAAAATTGTAGAAGGACTGGAGATGGTCCCAGGAATCCAAGAATCCCCCAGTGGTTAAGAGGACTGGCTGCTCTTGCAGAGGATCTGGGTTCATCCGCAACTGCAGTTCCAGGGGATCAGACACTATCTTCTGACCTCCTCAGGTATTGCATGACACAGGTGTACTTACATGCATGTAGGCAATACTCTCATATACATAAAATAACTAGAACAAAATGAGGTATTAATCACCAATTTAAAATTTTTTATTTAATTATTTTTATTTTACATGTATGAGTGTTATGCCTGCATATGTGTATGTGCACCTGTGCTGTGCAGTGCCTATGGAGGACAGAGCAGGGCATCAGATTTCCTGGAACTGGAGTTGGACAGTTGTTAGTTGCCATGTGGGTACTGGGTATTGAATCCAGGTCTTCTGCAAGAACAGCCAGTGCTCTTAACCACTGAGCCATCTTCTCTAGCCCTTAATAACCAATTTAAAAAGGACCTCCCATCTAGATATTTTTTTAAAAATATTTTATTAGGCCAGGCATGGTGGCGCACACCTTTAATCCCAGCACTTGAGAGACAGAGGCAGGTGGATCTCTGTGAGTTCAAGGCCCGCCTGGTCTACATAATGAGTTCCAGCCCAAGTCATGGAATAACTTGACCTGCTGATGAGTGGCATGACAGTACACTTGGAAAGAAAGTGCTAGAAGCAGTAAGGAAACCACCTCGACCAATGAGTTCAGTAAGAACAGGATAACCTTAGAGTGTAGAGTTAACTGCCTTTTTAAGAAAAGATGGAGAAGAAAGAGCAGAGACTCGTCAGCAGTGAAGGAACATTAAAGGTGGTGAAACCCCATCTACAAGGCAACAAGATGATAAATACTTCAGAAGAAACTTAGTTGCAGACAGATGAGGAAGAATTGTAAGCCTTCCTGCAAGCCCCAAAAGTAGAGACAAAACACCTCGTCTTCTTAGGACAACTCCTACGTGTGTTCATTTATTTTTTTGAGACAGTCTATGTAGTCCAGCTGGCTTTGAACCTGTGATCCTTCTGCCTCTGCCTCTCAAATTAAGTGTGCACTACCACCTATGACTATTACTATGATCTTAATTAAAATATTAACACTTTTTCTTTGAGACAGGGTCTCCCTGTAGCCCCAACTGGCCTGGAACTCACTATGTAGACCAGGCTAACCTTAATCTGAGATCTACCTGCCTCTGATGAGATTAAAAGTGCATGCCATCACATCTGACTAGAAAAATACAAATTTTTAAGGAATGAACAAACAAGGAAAAAAGCCTTAATACTATAAAAAGTCACTGAACAAACTGGTTTGGGTGCATGAATATAGAGATCACCAGAATCAAACTCTAAGAAGAGGCCCAAGTAAGACAGAAATTCAGTGTATAAAGATGCTGCATCTAACCCCCAAGTCTGAGATGGTCCTTATAGAATGATGCTGGGACAACTGTGTGGTCATCTGAAAAGAGAAAACTGGATCCACCACACAGGAGAAACAACTGTCAGTGGATCAGACTTTGAAACATAAAAAACAAAACCATACAAATACAAGAAACAGGAGTGAATTCTTGTAGGACTGGAACCTAGGAAAGTATTTTCTATGACTCAACATCCAGAGACAATAAAGATAAACACTTTTGATTATATAAAGCAAAACATGTAAGAAACAAGATTGGCAAAGTGAAAGACTAAAAACCAGCAGAGACTCTTCCCTCTGTGAGGCATGCCTCCTCCCATTTTTTCCCTGGGCTCTGCAGCTTGTGCTGCGTATGAGCTAGGCTGGCAGGGACTGCTCTCCATGGTACAGTCTGCCTGTCTCTCTGGCCCTAGGCCCTGGAACTCAACCTCAGCACCACAGTGGAGCTGGTAGAGAGGCAGAGAAGGCCTCTGGGTAGGGCTGGTAGAACTAAACCTGAGAGGAGCACAGAGGATCCAAGGAGGACTGTCCTTGTCTTCTGATATCTCTAATGCTCAGGGAAGCCCTGATTCCATCAGGGCACAGAGGGCAGATTAGGTACCTGGGCTCTGGTAGAGGCTTTTAGGCAGTGCAGATGAGTGAGTGTCCATCAAGGCCACGATCTTCATGTGGCCATACTGCCTGGCCAGCATCTGGGCTGTGGCTCCACTGTGGTCTCTTGTGTCCACTCTGACTCCCTATAAAGGTTCAGAAAAAACAGTCAGGAACTCCCCCATTAAAGTGCTCAGCTTACTGGTATGCTGGCCCAGAGGGATAAGAAGAGAAAGTAAGTGGGTTTCTAATCGCCTCCCTTGTAGGAGATATGACATGCTAAGGAGAAGTGGGGTGTGGGAAAGATATGTGACTTTCTCTATCCTTTACAACAGGGGAGGGAACCATAAGCCCATCACTGAGCAGCCACCAACCCACCTCATAGCTGCAGCCACTCCCCCTCCTAAGTGTGCCTGCCAGGTGCCAATGGCTCTGGCAGGAAGGCAGAAAGGAGAAGCTGGGGTTACTAGGCTGAGGGCCCACCTTCACCCTCCACAGCCACTCTGTCTGGCTCACTGAACATCTCACGCAACATTGATGAGAGACAACCCTAACTAGAGAACCAATCATTTAGCCCATCCTCAGAATGAGGGCTCCACCCTCCAAAACTGAATGTAACAGGTTTTGTGAGACAGGATGTAGCCAAGGCTGGCCTTGACCTCCTGATTCTCCTGCTTCTACCTCCTAAGTGATATTACAGGTGTGCACTACCACACTGGTTCTGTTTTGTTGAGACAAGGTCTCTCTATGAAGTCTAGGCTGGCCTTGAACTCACAATCCTCCTGCCTGTCTTCTAAGTGCTAGAATACCCAGTTGAGATTACAAGTGGCAAGGTGGAAAGATCCATGCTGAATGTGGGTGGAACCATTCATGGGATGGGGTTCCCAACTACATTAAAAAGGGCAAAATGAGCTGAGCACCAGCATTTATCCCTCTTTGCTGCCTGACCTTGGACACAATGTGATCAGCTACCTGGTATTCCTGCCCCCAGTCTTTCCCTCCATGAAGGACTATAACCCCTTTGACTGTGAGCCAAAATAGACCTTTCCTCCTTTCCATTTAAAAAAAAAATTATTATTATTTTGGGGCTGGAAAGATGGCTCAGTGGTTAAGAGCACTGATTGCTCTTGCAGAGGACCCATGTTCAATTCCCAGCACCCATATGGTGGCTACAAACCATCCTTAACTCCAGTTCCAGGGGAATCCGAAGCCCTCTTCTGACCTCTGTGGCACTGCACGACACGGGTGCACTCACATACATGCAGGCAATACACTCATACACATAAAATAAAAATAACAAAATATTT